CTGTAGCGGCCGGTGATAGGGATGAATAAAAGAAGGAGATATTTTGGGTTAAAACTTTGGAGAGAACCAAGCTTTGATAGCTTCTCTCCCCGCTTATTGCAATAAACGAAACAAAAGGCCTTCACTGTGTCTTGGCTGGTTATTGGTCAGGCGAGCTTGCCTCTGGTCACGAAGGAAAGTAGCCAGGAGCACATAACAGATATGTGTAGGAACATAACAATGAGTAGCAAATTCTGTGAAAAACCCTGATATAAGGCTTTATTTACAATTGCACTATTTTCTTTGAAATATGAAATAGAAAGCTTTGAATACTGGCAAAATGCCATATAGTGATTTGTCTATCTTGGGATTTAGAAACGTAATCATAGTGATGGAATTTAAACAAATGCTAAAATTCTATGTTTTGTAAGGGCAACAAATGCTATTGCTAAAACAGTAAAATGTGGGACTAATTGAAGTTTAGGGAAATAGTTACCTACTTAGCTACAGTGCCATCATAGTGTTATTGATTTAACTAAAATATCAAATGCCTTTTTCTTAGGCACTGAAACATTTTTAAACAGGAGCAAGAAACTTAAGCAACTCTGAACAGCATTTTGTTTCAACATGTCTAGTTTTGATTGCACTTGTTTGTTCTCGAAATGAAATTTAAAGCATTATTGTCTGAGTTAAATAAGCATGTGCCCTCATTTGTTTAAACAAAGGTACAAAGGTAGAAAGCTATAGTTTTGTGATTTTCAATATGCATCACCTACATGTTTAATTACCTTTTTAAACATTAATTACATCAGTTGGTTGAACTATATTCTTTCACATAACTGGACTCAAAATTATTCCTTAACAACTCTACCAGTCTGTTTTCTTTATATAAAAATAGTACAAAGGATACATAAGTGTAATTTTTAGAGCAATTATCACATCCTGAATTTGCAGCTCCTAAACTCACCTTTTTAGGAATAAAGCTAGTTAATAAACTCATAGGTCTTTTAGTTGGAAAATGTTCATATTAAAGCTTTGCCAAAATCTTGTTTAGGGATTAGAGGTGGCTGAATGGGGGGGACATGCGTTACGGGATTGCACTGTTCAAGAATACTATCCTCAGTAACGCTGCGTGCTGCCAAG